AGAGAGAGAGAGAGAGAGAGAGAGAGAGAAAATGAGTTTTAACCTTTCCTTGATGACACAACATCTTTCCATTTCTCTACCTCCCTTCATAGCAAAATTGTCTAAAAGAAGTTATTGTTACTGTTCCCCACCTCCTCACTTAAGCTCTCCATAATCCACTCCAGTTGGTATCTTCTCCAGGTCTTCTTCAAGACTTTCCTTGGCAATCCCAATGATCATGTCTCTTTTTTTTTTTCTTCTTTGCTTCTCAGTAGCATTTCCCAGTCTTTGCCCTGTTCCTCTTGAGGCCCTCTGTTGTGGCTGCTCCCACTATCTTCATTATTTGCCTAGTCTCCCTAATAATATCACACAGTCCCGTAGTTTTAAATATTATTTATGTCAGTGACTTCTAAACCTGTGTCTATGGCCCTCGTCTCTCCCTGGAAATCTGGACTGATATATCTAATTGGCTTCTTGGCATCCCATATGGTGGTCTAAACATCGTTTCATCGTTAATAGCTAAAACTGAACTATTAACTTTTCCAACAAAAACTGTGCCCTATGGATAGTCTTCTGAATATCAGTAAGTGGCGCTGTCATCCATGTAGTCCCTGAAGCTGAAACCGAGGACTTAACCTGGATCCCTCTTTCCCTCCTAGGCCTCATCCAGTACATCAGCAAGTCCTGTTGTCTCTATCCCCAGAACGTGACATGAATCAGTCCTTTTGGCCTCATTTCCAGAAACCACCATCATTGCTTTCCTGTGGTCTCCTTCTAACTCATCTTCTGCAGCTCTCCGACCCAGTTTCCCTCACAGGCACAGTGAGTTTGTTAAAACACAGATCATGTTGCTCTGATACGTAAAACCTTCCATGAACATCTTTACTGCAGTTCTTGTGAAGTCAAACCATACACCATCAGACACTGTCTAGTCACGTGATCTCTTTCTGAATCCCACACAATGTTCTTCTGAGCCCACTCTGCTCTGGTCACACTGGCCTGTCTTCAGTATTAAGCCCAAAGTGGCTAAGAGGCATTTTATTTCTGCTCTGCCATCTCTGTTCCTTTCACCGTCTCATCATTCAAATCTCATTTTAACTCCTGTTTCCTCCCCAAATCCAGCCAACAAAAAGCTGTCATCTGGCTATCATTCCTCCATTTTCTTCCAGGCACTTACACTATCTGATATATTTCCTATTTGTCTGTTTATTGTTAGGGTCACCCCACCAGAATACAAACTTTGGGAAAATAGGGGTGCTGTTTTTATTTTTTTTACTTACTGCTTTATATTCAGTGTCCAAACAGTGTCTGGGTCACAGTAAACCACTGGTAGGGATTTGTTATGGACATCTTGATAAATATTCCATATAATTTTGATTTGATTCAATCATGACAACTGTCAAATTTCTAAATAATGCTATTTTTGAGATTGTATCTTTTCTCCATCATATGGAAGAGGCCAGCAGAGTTACATAACAAAAACTGGCACTGGGAATTATATCAAATGGAAAGAAGATATTTTTATTTTGGAAAATGACAGCAGGTCAGAGAGCTTTAATAATCAGAACCATGTCTTCAATTTCTCTGCACTCTGAATAGGGTGGTTGTGAAATGAGCAGAGGGAACATAATGATATCTGGTGACACCGGACACTGTCACAAACGAATCCTGCTGCTAGACTCTTGCAAAGCAGTAGGCTCACCTGGAAGAGCATGGGGAGACACTCAGGGATGCAGTTAGAGCTCTCCTTTACATTGAGAGGTACCCATTGTGGGGTGATAATGTTATCAGAGGCAAGTGATGGAGAAGAGGGCTTACTTTCTACCACTCTCTGCTCATAGTCAAGGTAATCCCAAATCCAAAAAGAAACTATCTGTACTCAGCTGATTACTGGAAAAATATGAAATAGAACACAGGAAAGTGTTTGTGCAAGTATATCCATGCATGTGAGAGTACATGTATATGTACMTGGATTAGGAAAAAAATATCTATGTTGATAAAGACAGCTTGGGACAGAGAAATGAGTGAATAAAACCCAGGGGACCTCAACAGTCAGAGAATGGCCTCAGCTGTCAGCAGTTGGTAGACAAATACTTGTCAGCCCCAAACAGCAAAAACAGTGACAGCTTTTCACATAAGGCTCATCTTCTACGGATCATAATGATGTGTAGGTTGGGGGGCGGGGAAGGTTGGATAACAACAGTTTGCAGTATCAGAAATTCATTTCATTGCAAGGACTGCGTTTCAGCCAAGGGAGCCAGTTGACCCAGTAATAGGTACACAAGGTCCTTGCTGCCTTGCTTCAGTGCTTTCTTTGATTGGCCTTCTTCAATTCCATCTTCCAGGTTAATAATAAAAGCTTCCAGTTCCCTCGAAAAAGTTCCAAGGTTAATGTGGGAAGTTTTCAGTGGAAAACTTATCACACTACTTGGTTTAATTCCAGGAGTTCAGCATATGGCCTAGGACGTGCTTGGCACAYGTCAGACAGAGTCCACTATTTTAAAAAATGCCCCTCTGTGGACCTCATTAGAACTGGAAAGATCACTTGGAAATGGTTGGAAGAAGGATGTTTTTATTTTGATGGTTATGCTGGTAACCGCGTGGTTGTGCCTATTATTCTTTTAAAGGAGATTGTGCCTGAGTACAATATCGGGTAGAAAGAGATGATAAATCAAAGGTGATTTCAATCCCTTTTGAGCCTTAAGTGCTATTTTATTTTAAAATGTTCAATTTATAATATATGTTGTAGAATCTCTAAACATTCAACTGACACATCTGGCCTTTCGTGAACAGAGGTGATGTCAGGAAGGTTTTTGATCTCTTTTATTGCTCTTAGAGGGTGGGGGGAAAGTCAGGCTCCATGACACTATTTCCTATAATACGCAGAGAAATAACCAGAARCATGGCTTTTCAAAATTTAGTGCAAAAAGAGTGAAAACCACTCTATTCATTGTGGAGGAAGAGCATCTTCTTCATTGCCTTTAAACAGTTTCAGTTAATTTTTCCCCCCTCAAACTAAATACTCATTTTTGCCTGACCTAAGTCATCCAAGCTCTGACTTGACACTTCCAATCTCTAGCCACCCTTCTTAGAGCATTTACCAAGCAAACTGTTATTATAGGGAAGTGTAATGGAACTGGTGAATGAGACACTGAGTGAGAATGGACCACATTSTATTTAGAAGCACAGGCAACTCATAGTTAACAGGACCGCAGACCTGAATGAATGTCGGAGTTAATCAGGGAAAAATGTATAAACATTTTCAAACAATAGCATTGAGTAAAGTTATTGTTCACCTCTGTGGATGAGGCCTAGGAGACTCCTCAAAAGAAATCTGAGCCCACCTGCTTCTTGGCTCTGCCCTTCCATTTCTTCCACACTTTGTTTTTCTTCTGGACCATTCTCATCTTTCAAGAAAACCACACAGGAAAAAAAAAAAAACACATCAAGTCAATTTATGAAATATCTCTTTATGGCTAATATGCAGCACTGAAATTAATTGCAATCAATGTAGCATGACTCCCCATAAAGCAAGGCAGAGAGATGAATCAGAGGCATGAAACAGAAAAATTACCTACAGAAATAGGTGCATTTATACTCATCCCTTCTCACATGATTTGCTAGATTAAATGTTGAACTGCAGTAAACAAAATTCACTCAGCAGTCCTGTAACATCACTTTGCTCTGCATTTCCCAAATGCAATACAGATTTAATTTCCAATCTACTTTTCTCCTGTGACTCAAGTTACAGGGTCTGTGTAAAGAAGCTTGGTTGAACAAATTTCTATGCCCTTTATTTTCCTGTTTGATATATGTTGCAAAAAAAGTCTATTTTAACTTAGCTTGTACATGACAGTCTTAAACATATTTATGCTATGAAATATTTTCTGGAAATGATTATGTTGGTGTAGTATGTAACTCTGTGAAAGATAAATAAGCAGGACAACAGGGGATGTGTACTAGCAAATATCTAAAATTTTCTTTCGTCTTAAAATGTGTGTTATATCAGCGGATTGGTATGTAAAAAAAAAATCAACTTTCCGAAGGTAATTAAAGACCTGATTTTATACCTCATTGCTGGGAGGACTCCCGCCCCCAATCACTTTCTGTTTAGAAAATAAAGCAAATCAAAATGAAAATTTCTTTAAGGATACAAAAACAAAATAAAATATGTAGTTAAGTACAGAAGATAGAGAAACAGAAGTTACTAGCCTATATTAATATGGGTTAAAGATAGTCTCAAATCCTTTGTCTTCCAAGAAATGGAGCCTCTCCTGCTTCTCTCTGAATGCTGACTRGTGCTGGGCCTTGCTTAGATCAAGATGTGGTGAAAGTGATGATCAAGAACTTCTGGCTCCTCTCAGAGRAGTGGCAGCTTCTGCTTCCTCCTTTTGGAAAGCCAGCCTCACTGCAAAGAAGTTCAGGCTAGCCTCCCATGCAGACAAATATGAAGAGAAGGGGCCGGGCACGTGAGTGACCTTTCCTCACACCTTCCCACTTAGCCCAGAATGAGCCAGTGTGACGAGGGGGCAGAAGACTCAGCCAGCCTTTCAAAACTCTTGACCCACACGCAGGCCCAAATCACTTAACCTCATCTTGCTTGAGTGTTTTGACCCACCAGCGTCTGTGAGCACTGCTGGCTGTTAATGAGGAGGCAGGAGGACTGGTAGGAAATCCTCCCCAGAAGAGGCCTTTAGAGTAGAGCTGAAACAAGAACCTCAAGAGCAATGGAGAAACATTTTACCAAGAAGCTCTGGAAAATAAACTATGGAATAGAGTTTCTGATCAGAACACATTTGGATTTGACCTGAACGAAAGGCAAGGTATATAGGAGAGTGAGGGGGAAAAAAGGCAGAACTTGTGGGGGTTGCTCTGAAGTTGGGAAGAATGCAACCAATAAATCCATAATATGTACAGAATCCCCTCTGATGGCTCAGCACTGTGCCACCTGATGAGGGACAATGTATAATCTTTGATATGACAACCTGCGGCTCTTATGTCCAGTGTTCTAAATACATATTTATAAGAACCACATGATTCTCTGACRTTTTTTTCTGTTGTGATTCTCCATGTAAACAACAGCTTTGGCTTTTGCTCTAGCAGGAAATAACCACCATGGTTGATCTTTCCCCCTTAACAAGGCCAGCCTGTTACAGTGGCATGCACCAAAAACTTAGCCATTATTCCCCCACTTCCTCCCATCAGGGGAGAAATCCCAGCTTTTCCCAACAGATAGACTTCATAACACAAGTTTTGCAGTGATGTCCACAAGTGAAAACCTACCTTTAGAATTAGGCTAGGTGCCATGTCCCTTATAGGGTGAGGACAAAGCACTTTCTTACAAAGAGTAAGACAAGTAGGGAAAGAGAAATGAGTCATGAGAATGTGAGGACTGGTTCCAGAAGTTTTAAAAACATAAAAAATAAATTCATGGTCAGACCCCCAAATACAACCCTCTAAAAATAAAACCTAGACTGGCAATTTACCGGGCCTACTTCCCCTGGGTTTTCTCCTCAGTGCACATKCATGCCATCCCCCTCCCTAGCACAGACATCACCTGGCACACTTTTGTTAYCCACTTTTGTTATGAGCCACACAGCTTTCTGCTTGCAGTATTTCTGCCTCTGGGAAGCAAACTCAAGAACACTTAGCATGCTTATCACAAAATAAATGCTTTCTAGAAGCATGCTATATTTGAGCAATGTGCCCTCAGATGAAAAAGGTTTAGGGATATTGTTTGCATCAATTTCCAAGACAATGCATCCTCAAATCCAGCAGGGGGAACCAATGTAGAGGTCTTGTTTTTAGAGCCCAGCATATGCATTCTTGGGCAATTAGATTAGCATTCATTGCACTCTCTTTTAGAAGGACATTTTGGCTGGCTTTTAACTTTGCATCCATTTAAAATGCTTCCAATGGGTGAGTTCTTAGTGAAACAGTGGACTTGCCTGGGTAGAAAAAAAAATCACATTATTCAGGTGCCCGTAAGTATTTGATAAGGACAAGCTTTCTTTTTATCAGCCTTGTCTGACTGTCTTCACAGGAAGCACATAAACAATAAAAAAGTTAAGTGGAGTGGGGCATATAAACTTGTGGTTTTTAGAAGGGATTTTAAAAGGCTGACAATAAATGTGAAACAATAGGTACAGAGAAGTGCCAAGYTATTTTGTTAGCTTAAAACGTCACACAGAAACTATGTTCTGTATAGCTAAATTCTCTTGATTAATATACCTTTAAAATCACATATTTACTTCAGAAAATAAATTTCCATAGTGTTTATATTGAGTGTGACACTTTGCTTTCTCATGCAGAAAAGCACAGTATTCTGCAAGATTTCTTCTATTGGCTGTATCTTCTCATTTCTCCAGTATTAGGACTCTCACTTCCCAATCTTTCAATCCATATTTATTGAGCATGTTACTGTTTGCAAGAATATTTTATAAAATTACATAGAAATGAGAGAAGAGACTCCTGCTGCAAAGTGAATTTATGTGAATACACACAACACTGGTTAGACTATGATAAGAAATGAGTCCAAGTTTAATTCCATATGAGAGAGTTTTACAAGGGCAAACTTTCAACCTATGTCCATGAATTGCTACCCTGAAACTTGTAGCTCTTTTCATGAGATGTGCATGGAGATTTGAAGAGAAAGGGAGGTAAATCAGATTAAATCCATCACTGCTCCTGAGGAAATAAACTGATGTATACTATCTGCTGGTTCTATTGCTTTTTCTCATAAAAGTCTCAAGATTTCTAGACAATTCAAATGCAGTGGTTTGCAGATTAGATTCTTGGTCCTAATCCTTCAATTCCCTATAATAGGATTATGTATCTCAATGTCCTCTCACTGTGTACAGAATACTTCCAGGCCATTGATGTTGGGCTTGCCCATGTAATCTGGTTTGGACAATGAAATGCTACTGGACAGAATGTGAGCAAAGGGATTGAATATACTGCATAAATTAATTTGTTACATGTGCTCCTGATATTTGCCATGATAGGAAGATGTCCCTGTAGCTGCTGGTTTAAGGAGGATGAGAGATACGTGGTGCAGACTTGAACCCAAACCACAATCTGGAGCTGGGTTCAGGCAACTCACAGCTGGAAAATACAACCACCCAGCTGAGCCCAGCCTCCATCAACTGAGAGTAAATAAACCATTGTCAGGAACTGCATTTGGGAGTGATTTGATATGCAGCAATATTGTTGTTGTGAGGAACTGATGATAGCTAATTAATAAAAAATGAAATGCTTATTTTTCTTGGGTTAAAAAGACTTACAGGAGGCATCACAATACCAAACCTTTAATTTTACTACAGAGTTAAAGTAACAAAACAGCATGGTGTTCACACCAAAGCAGGCATGAATACCAATAGAACAGAATAGAAGACACAGAGACAAACCCACATAAATACAGTTATCTCATACTAAACGAAGGCACCATAAACATACATCAGAGAAAAGATAGCTTCTTCACCAAGTGGTGCTGGGAAAAATGAAAATCCATTTGCAGCAGAATGAAATTTGACCTCAAATTGGGTCAAGAACCTAAGCATTAGACCAGAGAGTCTGCCTAGCAGAAAATGCAGGCCCAACACTCCATCATGTTGGCTTAGGAAATGACTTCCTCAACAAGACTCCTAAAGCACAAAAGGTAAAATCAAGAATTAATAAATGGGGTGTTATCAAACTAAAAAGCTTCTTCACAGCAAAGGAAACAACTAGGAAGKTGAAGAGAACCTACAGAATGGGAGAACATCTTTGCCACCTGCACCTCAGATAGAACATTAATCTTTGGGGTATATACAAAATACTCAAAAGACCTAACACCCAAAAAACCAAATATCCCAATCAATAAGTGGGCAAAGGAACTGAATAGGCACTTTACAGAAGAAGATATATGAATGGTCAACAAATACATGAAAAATGTTCAGCATCTCTAGCAATTAAAAAATGCAAATTAAAACCACACTGAGAATTTATTTCACTCCAGTCAGAATGGCAATTATCAAGAATATAAGTAGCAATAAATGTTGGTGAGGATGTGGGGGAATAGGCACACTCATACATTGTTGGTGGGACTGCAAACTGGTGCAACCATTCTGGGAAACAGTATGGAGATTCCTCAGAAGACTTGGAATGGAACCATCAWTTGGCCCAGTTATCCCACTCTTTAGTATATACCCCAAGGACCTCAAAATCAGCATAGTATAATGATGCAGCCACATCAATGTTCATAGTAGCTCAATTCACAGTAGCTAAGCTATGGAACCAAATGAGGTGCCCTTTGACAGATGAATGGATAAAGAAAATGTGGTATATATAAACAATGGAATGTTACTCCATCTTAAGGAAGAATGAAATTATGGCATTTGCCATAAATGGATGGAACTGGAGATTATCC